TGTAAAAAAGAACAGAGCGTAAGATGTGCATGAAATATTTAATGGCATTTTTTTTCTTGCTATAACAAGCAAGCGAAGATTTTCGCGATGTAAAATGTAAAACGGTTTGGAAGATGTTGAAAGAACGACCGACACGAATTGAAATTGAATATTTTCAATGTAACTATAAGAATGTTGTGGAATAACGATAGCGATAACGGCCACAACCATCGCATGCAACGCTTGAAAAACCTAATTTGTATTTTAATGTAATAAATTTTATTAATGATTTTAAATTGCTTGTGCAAAAACTTTTGGCTAAGTTTCATTTTGGCTGGTGATTGTGTGTGTTTCGGTTCTTTTCTCTCTATCTTTCTTTTGATATCATGTTTTTTTCCATTCAGAATCTACATTGTAAGTAGTGTAACAACAGATGCGATTAAGGCTTCATTCAAACGGGAATCAATCGGGAGCATTGAGAGATTTTGCATGTCGATGGAAAAAGGCCACTGCACCATTGGCCAGACTGTAAAATTAATAACTTCGACGAATGGTACTATTCCAACAATCTTTTCGACACCGAATGAAACATCAACAACTAGTTTAACAACTATTGCCGAAAGCTTGTTGGCAAACGAAACGTGAACGAAAGAAGCGCACACACAATTGTAGTTGTGCAATTACCAAAAACTGATGCATCTGTCGAGCATCGACCATTTAAAAAAAGGCAATATACAAGAGACGAGCAGAATGTTAATAGATTCATCCGTCGGCGAACCAAGAGCGATGATGAACCGTACCGATGGGGTGATGATGAAAAATGTAAATGCAAAACGTGCAACCATCGATGATGTAACTAATGGCCGAACAATGACAAAATCCATGAACTTAACTGAATCTGGGCAAGAAACTAAACTGAGTCGGATATCATGAGAGTAGTTCGACAAGTGTACGGCATTATCAAAGCAAATGACCAAATGTCGAGAGTGAGAGTTGTGTGAAAAGACGATATTGAATCTTGTCGAGAACGTGCTGAAAATGTGACCCAATGCAAAATCAAGCATACAATCGACATCTATACTGTCATTTAATTCAAGTAGCACCTCAAACACGAACCACGTCCAACGTTTTTCAAAACGAAAAAAAAAACCGAATATGTCCTGCAAGCGACATCGGCATGGATAATGACGGTTCGGGATTCTCTCAATGTTTGGCATGAACTCCATTGATTCACGATTCGGAATGTCAATCGACGGAACGCTGTCTGAATAGATAATTTTCTTGCGCGTTCAATGTGCAACGGATAAATCGTCTGAACAAATGAAAGACTTTAACTGCGTTGCGTTTATCAATTGATAAAGCAATGCAAAAGTTTCAAAGAATATTTCAAATGAAGAAAAGGGCCAAAACCACAATGAAAAACTCTTGAAATGAAAGCTTAAATGATACCAGTGAAAAACATGAATGATAAATGTGCTAATCGGTTGAGTTATTAACAAACAATGATTTATAGCATGTCGTCGACATGCTCTTTACTTCACGCAAGTACTTTAGTCTCGTATCTTATCGACGAAAACAATGAGTTTTAATATCATTTCGAACAGATGTTTTGGTTTCTTCTCGTTTTTCCAGAACCACAATGCCCTGTTGTGGCACACAACTGCGGCACATTGAACGTTCACTCCTCTGTAGAACAAATTTAAAACACTTTACTAAGAAATGCATTGAAATTATGAAAAACTTTTGACAGTTGTTGCAAGCAACGAGGAAGTTTAAAGCTGCATTTGAAAAGCTAGTGAAAATCCTAGTGAGAATCTGCAAAAATCATGAACTTATGAAATATTCCAGTTTGTATTGCATAATGTGTTATATTTTCTTGATGCGTGTGTTGAACCACAGACTTACATTTGGTGCAAGTATTTTAATGAGTTCAAGTAATGGATGCGTGTCTTTAACAAAAGATAAATGCTTATGGATTGATAGTATGCATCTTATGAAGGTGTTCGAGAGAGGACAAGATAGTTTTCATTCTGCATTCACTTGTGTTATTATTCTTATTCTACATGGTGAAATTGCACCAATCCTTCAGAACATTCACGGAATATTGTACGATTTTGTGCGATGATATTACATCATTGCCGTCTTCATTCGTTTCATTATCTTTTATCATTTGTTCGTATAAATAAAATGACGGTAAACTTAGTCACACACAATTCTTTTCACATATTCTCGTCAAACATAAAACGGTGTTTTTATTTCACCACACTCGTCGTATGTTCCCATTCTGCGTACATTAATTTGCCTCAATTTTCTCGGCACTTCTCGTGCTCGCAACAAAAATAAAGTTGCATAATGAAAAGATATTTACCGTACGCTAAGATTAACTGCGATGTTTTTTGTTTTTGTGTACGTGTACTGAAAATCATTATGTGTGCATTTTACGAAACAATGCATTTTCACAATTTATGCGCTATAACAAATGTTTACCAACGTTGTGAAAGCTCAAGCGGAAGAAAGAGAGAAAAATGAATCCCGATGCAGAATAGTAGAATATAAAAAGTGATGAAAAAAATGTGGCATGGATTATAAAAGGGTGCCAGTATCGTAACAGCAATGTCATCAACTATTTTAGTTTCACTAAATATACACAAAATTAAAAACACATAGGAAATTATGTAAATGAATCAAAGTTTACTTAGTTTATGAAATGACAAAAAATTCACCACCATGGTGATTTTTCTCACATAGAAATACTTTCGGACGGCTTTTTGTGGTTGAATGAATTTTATTAAAGAATGCAAAAACGACATTCATTTAAATTAAAAATGAAATGGAACTTACATCTGTAAGTCTAACTTTCCCACACTGTTTTCAACTTTACTGAAATAAGAGATGAGATGATGATATTAAAATCGTTGTTAGATTAAATTCCTTGTAAGCCCCCGATTTTGATTTACTCCTTTTTAAGAAAGAGTTATCGAGCGAGCAACTTTTTGCTTAGCGGGTATAGTATACAGTGACTTCAAAATGACTTTAATCGATATTTATAATGGTTTGGCATGGCATACAATCCATTAGAATGCATTTAAAATGATTTAAAATTATTTTGTACTCGGCTAATTCCGTCGAAAAAATGCTAGAGAGTTGAGTGCATGGCTATTTTTCGACCCTTAAATGTTGTCGAATCAGTGCGAAACCACTTTCATTGTTGTCGAATTATTGGTTATTATCATTTAGCAAAGCTAATTGGTACCAAATAGCTCTTCTAAATGATACCAAATAGCTCAACTAAAGCTATTTAGTTCCAATTAGCTTTTGCTAAATGATATCATTTAGCTCCCGAACATTTTTCCGAGGATCTTTTCTACATAACATTTTTCCTCTGAACCCCTCAAATATTCCATTCTCAGCAAGCATATAATTTTATGCTGTGGATGGCAGCAGCAATGAGTGAAACTCTGGTTATAAGACACATGGTTCACATTGACTGTAAATGGAATAATATGTTCCTAGCATTGATTTTTCGTAAGGTAAACATCAATTAAAAGCAAACATGCGTTGCATAAGTTTGAATCTTGAATTATAGCTTAATGTCACGAATAAAAGTGTAATAAACAAATCAAACCACCGAACTGATTTTATTGATTGATATTCAATTTTATAAATAAAATTCAAATGCATTTGTAATGTCGTGAAATAGCGGTGAAATGATATGTTTGGCATTTTCATAAAAGCTATTCGCATGTGTTGATTTAATTTTCCATTACCATGTTATTCTGGTCCGAATAAAACCCGATCAAATGAAATTATTTTCACAAATTGAGTGTACGTGGTCATAGATAAATGTGAATAGCAACGGTTGTGCAAGATATTTACTGTGTTTTTTACTGTTTTGAAACATGTCCTTCTCTACATTCTTGAGTTTTAAAATTCGCAAAATCTTTAATAAGAACCATTTGAACTTGTTGAAAACCAGAGTTCAGACTATAATTCACAGTCTAATTAGCTTTGTGGTTAGTTAAAAATAAGTGATTTTCTTCAAAAAATATTAAATATTATATTATTTAGTAATTTAAGGAAAAATGTTTTTTAGGTGAAATTGTTCGTTAAATTTATTCAAGTAGTGGTGATAGGGTTCACTACTTCCTTCATTCGAGTATTTCGTATTTTTTTCAAAGAATTCTGTAGCAATACCAATATTCATGGTTTTCATTACTTCAGTGATAAATTGCTACACAAAAGTGAAAGGTGAGTCCAAGTTCTTCCACAATCCACATATACTTCGAATTATTCGGCACCTTTTTAATTTCACTTTTACATAAGATGGTGGTGGATAATTAGTTTTGGTTTATCACTCGGTTTGTGTGGTACTATGATTCGCGCCGTTTGGTTGGACTGGAATGAGAATCCAATGACCTTGAATTTTGATGAAGTGGCACCTATTTCGACCATCCCATTCCCAACCGTAGCAATTTGTCCCAACGTGAAAACTTTAAAGAATAAATTGGATGTATCATCTAAGTTCAAAATAGAGGATCAGAATATAAAGTTTTCTGGCAAACTATCTGATATTGAGTAAGTAATTTTTGAAGATATTAGAGACTTTAATACTCACATCTCGATATTTAATATTTTTATTCGAAGAAATACTTTGCGGCAAAGATACATAATGATGACTTTTTTTGTATATAAATATCTTTGTGCAGGGCATCGCAATTTGATGCGTTAGGACACATTTGTCCAATTTTGTCTTTACTTCTTAAATACCGAAATGATTTCACAAACGAATCCATCTACGATGTACTTGAGAACCTCGCTCCCAATCTTCATTATTCATTGTCTGGATGCCAATGGCAATCAAGTGACATCAGGTGCTCTGACCATTTTATTCCAATAATGACTACGGAAGGTCTATGTTTTGTATTTAATGCTTTGAGCTTGAATGAAATGTATACAGATGAGTAAGTCTCTTAAATTGCCAATTCGTAAAGATGAAAAAAGGTAAATCAACAATTTTCAGAATGGTGTCAAGAAAGAAGATGACCACGATCAACAGTCCAATGACATCTGGCTGGAGTTTTGAAAGTGGTTATACTGATGGATTTGAAGGCAACACTTATCCCAATCGTATGATTGGTGCGGGTCAAAATTATGCTATGGATTTTGTTGTTTCGCAAAACACGAATGATTATGATCATATATGTACACACCTTCTTAAAGGATTCATGTTGGATATAAATGTTCCAGGTGAAGGAATATCCAAATTTCATGATAAACTCTTCATTTTAATGTCACAAGATATTAAGATAACGATTAAACCTAAACTAAAAGATATTTCGAAAGGCATGAGCCTTTATAAATCAAATCAGCGTCAATGTTTTTTCAATTCTGAGCGAAAATTGCGATACTTCAAAATCTATACGAAAACCAATTGCGAAGATGAGTGTTTGGCGAATTTCACCAAAAATGAATGCGGATGTGTAAAATTTTCTATGCCAAGTATGCATTCAGCAAATTCCATTAATTGGCTCCCAAAACAAAATTAATTCCATATTTTTCACAGGAGACAAACATATAAAAATCTGTGGTGCAGCGCGTATCAGATGCTATATAGACGCTCAGAAAAGATATGAATCCCATTATGGAAAATTGTTTCGTGACGAATGTAATTGTATGGAATCATGTATTGATATTCAGTACGATATAAAAACTGAAAAAAACAATTTATTTATGACGAACAAGAGTAACAATATTGGATTCGAAGCGAGTGAAATAGGGTATGGACTATGTTAAATATATTCATAAAAACGCATAAATAATTTAAAAAAAATCTTCAAAAAATCAGTCAACTGTCCACACGAGTCTCCATTTTCTTCCAAGATCCCGAAGTCAAAATAGAAAAACGGGTGGAAAGGTACACACTTACTGATTTTCTAGCAATTTGCGGTGGTTTGCTTGGATTATTTTTTGGAATTTCCTTTTTGAGCATCGTCGAAATCGTCTATTATGCCACAATTCGCTTGTTTTGGACCATTTATCGTCCAAGACCACCAAAAATACAGCCACAGGAGGATTATGAACCATTTGGCCAAAAGCTATACTACAAATATCGATTGGTATGATCATTGATCACTTATCTTCCAAAAAACTTCGACATTTATCTACATTTCAATTTTGTCGTTATTAGACGAGATGGATGTACACTTTGTGGCAGGTGTTGCGGATATTTTTTAAAGAATTCTGCAAAAACAGTAACATCCATGGCCTTCGATATGTGACCGAAAAAAAGCTACATATTATTGAGAGGTAAATCCATTTATGAAATCGAGATCAAGAATTTTTTCAGCATTCGCATTCGCATTCACTTAGATTGGTATGGTTGATCTCCATTGGTGTTGCTCTCTGGTATAGCGGTTCCATGATTCAGAAGACCTATATCGAGTGGCAAGAGAACCCAGTGAAAATAAGCACAACAGACACACGATCACTGATTGAGACGATCCCATTTCCCACCCTCACAATATGCCCAGACATTAAAGCGCAGAAACATAAATTGAATATAGCATCAGCACTTGAGTCGCTTAAATCTCAATCCAATTTATCTCACATAAAGTAGGTAATTTAAAAAAATTGTTCGAATTTTCGGAATTTTTCTCAATTTTTTCTGCGTTCTTTCTAGCGCCATCCGTGTCAATGCTTTGGCTCAAGTGTGCCCATATCTACCAGGTCAAATTGAGCTTGACGACGATTTTGCAAATGAATCTATGTACAATACCCTTCGAGATATTGCACCCAATTTGGAAGTATTTCTATGTCGATGGCATTTTAAAGATTGCATCAAGAATTTTAAACCCATGTTCACAGAGAAAGGTCTTTGTTTTACATTCAACGCCTTGAATTCGCATGAAATATACACAGACGGGTGGGTTTATTACCAATAGAAAAATTCGTCCGCACCTTAATACGCTTACAACCAAATACATCACACATTATATTTTTAGAATGATAATGAACATGAGGACGGTTGAAAATAATCAGAATGTATCCTCACACTGGAGTCTACAAAATGGATATTCAAATCCATTCAATGATGGAAATTATCCATTCCAGGCTGTTTTGTCAGGAAGAAAAGTTTACATGGGCCTTTCACTTCTTACCTCTAAAAATAATGTGGAGCCTCAATGTAGTGGCATCGAGCAAGGATTTAAAATATTTTTATCCACGCCTGGTGAAACATTGCAAACGTCACATAGGTACTTTCAAATACCGTTTTTACATAGTAACGTGATAAAGATTGATCCTGTATTAACAACAACCACCGAAAAATTGCGTCGCTTCAAACCACATCAACGAGAATGTTTTTATGGCGATGAGCGACAGTTGCATTTCTTCAAAATGTACACGCAAATCAACTGCAAAGAAGAATGTTTGGCGAACTTCACAAAGCAAGAGTGCGGATGCGTGAAATTTTCGCAGCCAAGTATATGACATATTGCCTTTACTATAAAAAATTGATATTTAATTTCTGCGTAGGAGACAAGAGTACTCGAATCTGTGGGGGAGCAAAGATAGAGTGTATGAAGGAAGCAAAATGGAAAATTCAAACCACAAATATAGGTAAAACATTTGAAGAAGAATGTAATTGCATACCAGCATGTACATTTATCAAATACAACGCAAACTGCGACCGGACTGCGGTGGACCCGGATTCGTTAAATCATTGGGATGTACCGAAAGAGTACGATTACAACAATTAAATAAAATTAAAAATACACTAATTCCCTCTTCAATCGTTTTAGTAAATATCTTACAATAGTTCTTTTTGCCTTCAACGTCCCAGATATAAACACAGTCAAAAGGAATGAGCTGTACACTTACGGTGATTTCTTAGCAGTTTGTGGTGGTTTGCTTGGACTTTTCACGGGTTTTTCTGCATTGAGCTTCATCGAAATAATTTATTTTGCCACTTTGCATTTATTCTGGAAGCTTCGCTCCTTGAAAGCGAAGAATGCGGCAGCACCAAATCATCAAAATGCTAGCAATATAGCACCTCGACAAGTGACTAATGCGTGGATATAATGGATTGGGGTCATAGACTTAACTTGCTTTAAAACATAGCATCCAAGTGATTGTTATGCTATTACTTTATCACTTCATTATTCAGTTTTTTATTAGTTTTCTTCAAGATTTTTATTAGAGAATCAAATTGTGTGAAATATTCTCGAATATTTGTTTCTGTGTAAGCAATTTCTGACACTTAATGCTTTAACGACACTAACAATGAGGAATTCACAAAATATGATATGTTAAAATAAATAATATTGACGTTGTTGCCATAAGAATTATATGTTTAAAAGAATACTTTTAATACCATATCTGGAAATATACGCAAATGCAGTAGAAATGCTAGATGTATGTGGAAAAAAGCCATAAAAATTTAAAGTTATGGATATCTTGAGTGACATTCCTAATGAAAAAGCAATGCAACATATCATCAATAAAAAACAGAGTATGCATGTACAGTACGTTTTTTTATATAGAGTCATCGTTTTTTTTAGACAAAAACACAGAAGTAATTTTATATACATTTTATTTAATATCTAAGCTACGGCGCACACAATCAATATTTAATCCATTCTCCAAGGGCGTCGCCAGAGGGGGGCAGGGGGGGGGGGCGGCAGACCCCCCTGAGCAAATTGTCCTCGATTTTTAAAATGCCAGACATCAAAAAAAATTTTTTAGAGGACCGATGAACTAATAATCGAAAGAGCTATTTCACATTTCAAATTTTACTCATTTTTTTTTTTGAAAAATCGATGACATCAGTTCGTTGGATCATTTAGAGTCTGTTTGTAATTATATAAACATTTGTTACTGAATTTATCAAACTAACGTCTCAAAACAGCGACAAAGCAAAGTATAAAACTTACATTGTTTTGTTTATATGAGGCATAAACATCACAATTGAAAGCGATAGCCAACTCTTTGCATTTATAGATGAATCGGTTGTTTTCTTTCTTCACATATGTGTTTGTTTTATTACCAACGAACTGATGTAAGGGATTTGTTATTTTTTGGGTTTGTTTGCAGTAGACTTATCAAAGTTATTTTTTTTTTATCAAAATTAAGTATACAATTTTTTTATGATGAAAAATAAGTGCTAATGCAATGACATATTCTATTATCTCATTGAATATTATCAATAAGTTTCAATTTCTTGGCCTGCTCTGATCTTGTATATATGGATAGATAAAATTCCAGATCAATTGGAGTGTGGAAAAATACATATACAGCTTTGAAAACGGAAATAGAAAATATCGAAAAAGCTGACCAGTGAAAAACTCGAAAAATTAGAATTGTGCGATGTTATTCGAGAAGCAAACACTTTTTTTCCTACGATTAAACAAGTTCTATTGATAGCGTTAGCCCTTCCTTGCACCACATGTACAATAGAACGTTCATTTAGTACACTGAGAAGAGTGAAAACGTGGCTCCGCACAACAATGCTCGCAAACCGTCTCACAGGTAGCTAACTGTGTAACAATAAATATGAATAACACTCTAAAGTTTAATTCATTACAGGTCTTTGCATGTTAAGCATTCACCGCGAGCTTGTAAAAGAAAATAAAAACAAGATATTGAACGAAGTTTTGGAAAAGTTCGCATCAGATACAAGAAAAATATTGCTAAAATAAGAAAACATAAATGCATAATATAATATGTATTTTATATCTATTGTAATAAGTTATAAACTGACACGGATGATTTTGAATTAATTTTAT